ACGGTCATAAGTGGGGGACCGACCGTGGTAGGGTACACAGTGGACTAGAATTTGCAAGGCATTTTCCTTCCCAGAGACACTTTCATTACTTTCTTATAACCATTCTGAGAAATAGGCAGGTAATTGTAGGTTTTACAGAAGAGGAAATTGAAATTCAAAGCTCTTCATTATGTTAGTGATTGCATAGCTATCTAGTTAAGGTAGTGTCACAGAGCTAGTTAAGGTAATTAGTGTCACAGAGCTAGTTAAGGTAGTTAGTGTCACAGAGCTAGTTAAGGTAGTTAGTGTCACAGAGCTAGTTAAGGTAGTTAGCATCACAGAGCTAGTTAATGGCGGAGTTAGGACCAGAGGCCCTTTCTTCCCATTCCAGTTCCTGTGCTTGTTCAGTTCTCTTTGCAAACCTCATGGGCCGACACCTTTGACTGCTGACTTCTTTCCACTACCTCTCTGATGTTCCTTGTGAGAAGTTGAGCAGACTTATTACAAATTAAATATCCGGATGCTTGAACTGATGAGCAGGAAATGAGGCTGTTAATACTCAGAGGAATGAAATCGAGACTTTTTTTTTTTTAGTAGAATTTTGGGCCGAGTGGCCTCTTTCTGTCCTTCCTTTCCCTGTGTCCTTCCAGTCTCCATGGAAACCCCAAATCAATGCAGCATATGTTGATTCATGTTTCTGCTGTTACTAGGAAGCTACAAAGTGGAAATTGCTTTTAAAAGATTTGTGGAAGAGCTTTAGCATGCTGACCAGAATTCAAATCTAATATCTGAATGACTGTTTTATTAAAAGCTTTTAATATGGTACTGTCCTAGGTGGTATGTTGATTAAATAAACACACAGGGGGCGTTTGGCAATAAACCTCCACCTCTACTAACATGGCTTTTAAAAATATTATATTGCAGACTTTAATTCCCTTTATCTTCAATTTAATTACATTTTTGTGGCCTGTGTGACAATGCCAGGTGCTCCTTTTGCTCTTGATTAATTCTAGCCTGCCCTGACCGGGCTGTGGGGAACAATAGTTTCCAAATGCCTTAGGTACCCATGCTGCTGCTCCTGAGAGTCATTAGCATTAGACCGATTTCAGACTTGACCCAGAGACCGTGGAAGTCTAACATGTTTCTGCCATAAGAAATCCTCAGTGATTTTTCAGATTTTTTTCATGAACTCAAAATCAAATGCAGCTGACATTTATTAAACACCTGCTTCATACAAGGCAATGAGAATTGATAGCAAGGGAGTAAGTCATAGAGTCTTTGTGGAACACGTAGTCATTTGGGAGGATCAGAAAACATAAATCACAAGGATATCCTACACACTATGTCACGGGCTATCAGAGAGTCACGCAGCAACGTGGTGGTATTAGGATGGAGGGATTCCTTCTGATTGAGACCGTTCTGAAAAGCTTTGGAAAGGAGAATTTTTATCTCGAAGGTATTAGGTTTAGAGAAGGAATTGGGAGTTAAGAGGCAGATTGGGGGGGCAGGGGGAACATTTTGGGCAGGGGGGGCAATGGAGAATCAGGTGTGTGTGTGCATGTGTGTATGCACAATGGGATACAAGACTGGATAGCTAAATGGGACCAAATTGTTAGAATGTCAGGCAGGACAAATCGTTACCACGAAGTCCATCAAAAATTACTCTATGGACCATTTATGGTACCTGATCGGTGGGTAACTCTGGTAGTAGTGTAGTGTGCCAGGAGGTTAATGGGGATGGGGAGGCGATGACATGGGGGCAGGAAAATCAGCTACTTAGGAGGGGGTGGACGAGACATACACCATGGGAGGTGCCCGGTAACCTCTGAGGGGCCGTGTCAATGGATGGGGGGGGGATAAAATTGAGAAGTGTTTCAGAAATATAATGAAAAGTTTTAAAAATCAATTCAACAGGGCAATAGAGAAAAAGAAACCAGAAATACCTATACTCATTACCCCGGGGGACTAGGACAGTCATTTCATGAGCAAGCGGAGGGAGCCCGGCAGGAAGGGAGGACTTGGAGGGAAAAGTGAGTGTTTCTGACACAGTTGCATCTGCAGAGTCTGAGAAGGATGGAATTGTCTAGCTGTCCTCTGGAAAAGCCAGTCCGGAGCTCATGAGAGGCAGGAGTGAGCATCAGTGCCAGAGAGATGCAACAGCCCAGGCCTGGGAAGGGTGGGTTTCCCAGGAGGAGCAAACCAAGAACGGGAAGGGCTGAGGTGTGTGGGGCAGCCTGGGAAGCCAGAGCAGGGCTCTTAATGCCTGTTTGGCTGGGAAAAACCATGTGTCACCGCTGGCGGAGATGTCCCGTGCCTAGTCTCCAGCCAGAAACTCAGGAGTAGTAACGAGAAAAGAATCTAGAGCTCTGTATTCCTGGGCCAGGGCTAGAAGCCCGGGGACACAGAATCCAAGGAGACGAGTGTGTTTCTCACTAGCATTCCAGCCTGCTTGCCTTTGCGTATCTCTCTCCTTCGGGAAAGGAGACCATGCCAGAATGCTTACCCTCTCCGTTCTGCTTCATCCCAGCCTCCCCACCCCGCCCCTGCCCAGCCCCTCGAATTCCTTATGCACCTGCCTCTATGGAAAGGAAGATTTAACTTAGAGGCCTCCCCTGAGAGGGGGCCAGTCCTAGGTCTGTGCTTCTCAAACTAGGGTGCTGTGTGGTTACGCTTTGGTGTTCAGGAACATTTTGGTTTAAAAAAAAAGTCTTAATTTTTTCTTTCTACTCGTGCCGGATGCACGTCCACATACTCTTGTCCCTCTGCTCTTCATATTCCTGCTCTTTCTTGAAACTTTGTTAATGATTTTATCTTTCCTTAAACATTCGGGTTGGTTTATTGACTTCCTATGACCATATTATTTCTCCAAAAGCTAATCGAAGATTCCAATACCTTAATATTAGTCAGCCTCCACCTGAGACTTGGGTCCCTCTGCAGCCCTGCCCTATCTCCTCAGCGCCTTTCAATCCTGGTTGTCAGATGGGCCAGCATGAGACTCGGAGGGGCCCTTTATCTCACCATTTCAGCACCGGACAAGAAGTCCCGTGAGGGTACCACCTTTGTGTTAAAGCAAAGGGCAGAGCAAGCGTTGGGAACAGGAAGCTTGGTAGCAGGCACCCGCTCTGCCACTGTAACTGGCTTGCCTCTGTTTCTCCATCTGTAAAATGGGGTTGATAAAGATGTCAGTCTTGGAAGTTTGTTGCGAGAGTTAAGTAAACAGCAGTGCAACGTTTAGCCCAGTGCCTGGCACATAACGAGGGCTTGTTGGACAGTGGCTCTGTGCATGAATTGGAGAGGCTCCACCTTACCGTAGAACCTAATCTTGGATTAGGGAAGTGCTTGTCAGTGGGCTTTTATTCCCCGTTTAACTCTGAACCCGTTTTGTACAGCGCAGTGTATGAATAAAATATCCAGAAGCAAAGGATTCGCTAACATCAGCATGCAAAGCAGGGGTTCTGAAGAATGGGAAACATTTCTTTGGCGTCTCATTTCATAACGCTAAGTTCCCTTTACCTAACAGAGGCACACTGTGGACACTTTGCGAGAGAGACAATGAGTTACTGTGGAGGCAGCATCAGACTTTTTATTTCATCCCCTCATCACGCAATGTGGGGTTGCGGCAGACTCATGTCACTGCGGGAATACAGGTTATGCCACCAGTAGATCTGCCAGGAATTCTGGGTCCCGGCATGACGTGGTGGGAAGAGCTCCGCTGTAAGAGTTCTGAGAAAACAAGTCTGGTCCTTGAGTTGCTTCAATTTTCTCATCTGTAACTCAGGGATAATAATAACCTCTCTGGCTCTGGAATAGAGTAGTTGATAACAATACACGAATATGCTTTCTACGTTATAGGAGGTTAAACAAATGCAATCTAATATTTTTAGTATCAAGCCATCCCTTTCCCTGGAGATTTCTGATGCCTCCAGCAAATGCCACCTTCTGGGTATCCAAAATGACTTGTGGTAAAGATTAGATGCATTTGGAGCTAGTTCCTGAGTGGGAGCAGGAGACTGGAGTGGAATGGGGAGAAGGGAAGCTTTGTCCCAGGGCAGGGATGTGCAAACTTCAGACGCATCAGAATCACCTGGGAGGCTGAGCTATGTCCCCTGAGTTTCAGATTCTCTAGGTCTGGGGGTGGGGCCCGAGAATTTGCATTTCTAACACATTCCCAGGTGATGCTGACGCTGCTGGTCCAGGGACCATACTCAGAGAACTACCATACTAGGGCAAGCAGGAAGAGACAGTCCTCCTTCTGGAACTGAAACAGGCAGTGTCAAGATCCATGTGGGTAAGGTGGTTTGGAAGAAAAAATTGCAGAAGACAGAAAAATTAGGGATAATGTGCCGATTGGGCAGAACAAAGGGAAAAGTCTCACTCCATCACGAATGCAAGAAGGGGGAAGTTGCTAGGTGATGGATGAGGGAGAGAGGTGAATTTCCACTGGAGGAAAAGCCAGGAGCACAGAGTTGGAAATATACATGTTTTGAGGAGGCAGAGGAGGTGGAAATTTCTCATTAAGAAGTGAGGAGTGGTGTGTTTGGTGCTGGGGGGTGGGAGTAGAGACAGACTGGGGGAGAAATGCCTCGGTGGAGTCAGGGGGACAGCTGAGATGTGGCAGAGGGGGTAATTGCAGGGCTGTGTGGTTTGGCTTGGTAGTGAAGCACAATAGAAATTGGGAGAAAGGGGGTGGAATTTAGATGTGTGACCTGCCCCGTAGCTTTCTTGCTCTCTGCATTTATCACATCACATCACACCCAGCAAGACAGCCCCCCTCCTCCTGGCTCATTAGGAGATTTGATTCGGCTTGGCTCCTGCTGTCAGCAGCTGTCTGGGGCAAGATCTTTATGCTCCCTGCTCCCTGAGCAGCAACCAGCCTTCAGCCAGCAGCAGAGCTCATTAGAAGAAGGCCCCCTGGACACTTGATTTTCAGCTCATCGGTGGCCGGAAAGAGTTAATACCTACGGCTTCTCAGCCCCCTGCACAGCCTCTGGGTGCAGAGAGAGGCAGCTTTGGGCTGTGGAGACTTCTCCCTGAGCTGCAGCCCGAGAGCAAGGAAGCAGGTTAGTGAAGAGGAAGGTACGGGAGGAGTGCCAGGCAAGCTCTGCTCGGGGGCACCTCCTGCATCCTGCCAATGAGCACGGGCGTGCAGACTGTGCCCGGGAGCTGAGCCGCCGCCCGCTGGCTGTAGGCTGCCTCAGTATTTACTGGATGTGACAAGCAGAGAGAAGAGCTTTCCGCGGGGCCGCTTGCTGCCCAGCTCAAGTGGTGGGAGGTGTGTTGTGCATGCATGCGTGTGTGTATGTGTGTGTGCACGCACGAGTGTGCCCGTGCATTCGTGCACGCGTGTTCTTCACCCAGCAAGGATCTGACTGCTAAAAGATAGATCTACTCTTTCCCCAGAACTCCTTAACCCGCAGCCTCTCTGACCACCCTGTTGGCAAAGACCCGCAGGCCATGAGGACTGGTCAAAGACAGTGAGTACTGCATTTGTTTTTCTCTTTGCTCTTCAAGGTGCCCATGTGGGCTGATTGCATTATCCATATTTAATTAACCTGCCTCTCCATGCATATTGATTGCTTTCTCCCCGCTGAGACTCTTAGTTTCTCTTCCCCTCTTTAAAAATCTTTGCTCTTTGCTTTTAACCTTTGTTTTTTGTTTTTGTTTTTTTCCTTGAGTACCCGCTTTCCATTATGTCCCATCCTGTCTGCCCCAGAGTCACCTGTCACTTGATGTCCACCTAACAGGGCACATTGCCATGGGCCTTCCCGGGTTCTGGGGGACCCCAAACTCCATCCCCACCAAAAGTCAAGGGCCAGATGGAATTAGAGCCCCAAGGTGCTGGGATGAATGAGGAAGCTGGGGCCACAGTCTCCTGCAGATTCTGATTGAATTGAAGTCAAGGCTGAGCTAAGTGAAGGGATGGGGAACAGTCTGGGGGGCGGTGGTGGGCAGCACGGGACTTGGGAGGGAGAGAGGCGGGCGTGCAAGCAGTCCCGGCAAGCCAGGATGAGCTAGCAGTGGGAACGGGAAGAGCGACAAGGCAGTGACTGCAGGCCTGCCCCAAATGACCTTGCCTGCTGTGTCTGTGGGGAGTCATCCGTGGTTCTGTTCAGCACCAGGGTGACGAAGGCCCCCGGCACGGGCTTCCCCTCCTTCGGGTGATAGACCACAAGCAAGAGAAAATGAGGCATAGGTGACCCAAACAGTGATTTCTTGTAGCTGGAAGAGAACCTTAAAGCTGGGAAAAGCTTCGATTTCCTGACTCCTGGGCAGGCAGGTGGATGCCCCGTTAGGACAAAGGTTAAGGGAATGTCAGTCTGAGCTCAGTCTCCTTGAGGATGAGCTTTGACACAAAGTCTAACTTTTTATGTATTTGTTTATTGATTTTTAGTTTTAACAAAGCAATCTTTTAATTTTATGAATGTTGGTATTATTAGAGAAGGTATTTAAAAAAAAAAGTTTTTGTGAAACATTCCGTGTAATAGCAAAATAATTTAAACAGAGTAGATCGAGTAGGGGCCTTATCTATCTAAATTAGGTTTCTTTTAAAATGGATTCTATGTTTGGCGTCAGGGTTCCCCGGGGGAGCCCTTTACGGATAGGCTGCTCTCTTCATGTGTTTCTTCCTATCATTTCTGTGGAACAAAGGGTTTGAAGCACTGAGAAAGCGGACCCTCAGGAGAGACAGATGATCAGTCACCAAGCCCTCAACCTCAGTATCCCCTTTCCTGCCGTCCTCCTCGCTTCAGGTCAGGAATGGGCTAGTCCCCAGGCTGTGGAAGGAAGGTCGCTGGCCTCCATCTGGGCAGGAGAGAGTAGCTTGCATATTCATTTTTCCAGCCTGGGCCTGGGATCCTGCAAAGGAGCAGGCCTGTGCAGTGGCCAGGGGGCCTGACAAGTCTCCCTAGGAGTTACTCTACCCTTCCCCCCTACTCACACCCTCCCAACGCTCCAGGATGGGTTCCCTGAGAGGGAGGCGGGAATCAGAAGAGCAGCCAATCACGTAATTCTGGAGCAAGTGCTAAACCCCCTCCCCCATCTGTGGCTGGCTGGTCACTTGGGCCCCGCTGGAATGAGACAAAGAGAACAGTAATTTTTGGCTTGCCGGGCCCCAACCTTCCTCTCCTGGGGCATGTGCCCCATTTCACTGTCCATGGCCAGTTCTTGGGGAACTAGATGCTCCTGCCCCACAGGCGGCAATGCGAATCCAGCCAGCAGGTCCTCCCGGCTCACCCTTAGCCAGTCACCCTCCCTTAGGACAAGCAGGCCCGTGTGGGGAGGGGCTGTGTCGGGGGAGGCATTCTGCCAGCAGCCGGTGGCGTCTGAGAGGATCTGTAGCACAGTCAGACCAGAGAGGGCCGCCCCCCTCTTACAGCAGATTCTTTGATTTTAGGTGAGAGGCCTCGAAAGGGTAAATCCCTGTGCCCCGCAGTCCTATCTCCCGCCCTGACGTCCCTGCACATCGGCCAGAGTGTTAACCGTAAGCGCGTGCCTGTATGGCCGCTTTACTGATGCCACGCAGGTAATGATGCTCACCTGTCTCCCCGCCCCTGCCTTTCCGAAACCCTCCCCACCCCTTCCCACCCCCTTGCTGTGTGAGCCTGCCCCAGCCTTCCACTCCCTTGGGTGGTCCGTCCCGTCAGGCCATCGGTGTGGCCGATGCTCTCCTTCCTGGTGCCCTTCTTGCAAGGTTGTGGCCTTGTAAGCAGAACCTACGTCAGGGCCAAACCCTCCCATTGACCGCGGGACTCAGGGGGTGGCCCTGTGTGTGAGCTTGCATTGAACCATTTAGGGACGGCTGTAGGGTCCTGGAACAGGGAAGAAAGATGAGGGCAAGCTTACTTCTTTTTGCTTTCCCTTCCTCCCTCCCTCCTTCCTTCCTTCCTTCCTTCCCTCCTTTTGAAGTAACCTTAACCTTTGACTCTCACTTCTGCTCCCATTATTTCAAACCTAACTAACGAGGTTATAATTCAGATCTCAGCTACACAAGATGGAAAATCAAAACCATTGGGCCCCAAAGAATATTTTGTGGAAGATTTTTTCAAACTACTGGGGAGAACCACCGTTGTCTCGGTAACGAGTATACCCTTTACACTGGCCCCCGCTGAATGTTGTTAGATGGCGTGTGTGGATTTGCTGTTTTTTTTGAAGTCCTCTTAATTGTTCTTGGGGGCCTCAACCTGACTGTTATGTTATTGATGATCCTGGGGCACCAAGGAGTGAACTGGCTTACTGGAAGTTGGGTTTTGGCCTTGGTACAGCCCAAGCAAGACCTTGACTTGAATTCACGGAATGTGGTGACTCAAGGGCCCTTAATCAGTTGCTCACATGGCCTGGTGGTGGAGCGAGCACCCTGTGATTTATAAGAGTGAGTGGCCAGGATGCTCACCATCGCAGGAGAGAGAATGGCTATCACCAATGTTTGGAAATGTCACAAAATCGATGGCTTCATCATGCGCCTGGCTGAGATAAGAGGTGGGAGCACAGGACGTGCAGGCCCGGTTTTCTGCAGGAGAGCGGATATTTCTGGGAACTTGGATGTTCCAGCTTTAAAAGGCGCTCAGAGATGGGCTGTGGAATACAAATGTTGTCCATCCTTGCCAAATATAATACCATCCCAGTAGACATTTTTTGGATAAGATTTCTGTGAATAACTAGCTTGGGTCGGGGATGAAAACCCACTTGGAGTGAGAGGAAGATATTTAATTGGGCGGCCTCTAGCGTCTCTGCCCAGGCCCAGGATTCACAAACCAGGGGAGGGGAAAGTCAGGCTGGAAGGACTTCCTTCCCACATGGAGAATAACATCTCTGGGACTATTTCTGTGGCACATTGTTCCCAGTGTGCACGTGGCAGTGCCCTTTTATAAGTCACGCTTCAGTCCTGGTTTGATTACACCCAACTCTTCCCACTTACCTTTGCTCTCCATGCGAGGAGCTGCCATGGTTAAAGGTCGGGGGTCAGTAAACTTACTCTAACAGGGGCCAGAGAGTAAATATTTTGAGTTCCATGGGCCATACAGTCTGTGTTGCAACCACCCAACTCTACCCTCATGCTGGAAAGCAGCTTTAGACAGTATGTAAATAAATGGGTGTTGTTGTGTTCCAGTAAAACTTTATTTACACAAACGGGCATCTCGCATGGCCATAGTTTGCTGATCTCTGGTTAAAGGCAAAAAGGGGCTAATGTTGGAAGTCAGAAAGAGACAGTGTAATTCTTCATCGGACCTTCCGTAACAGGTAACATGTAAATGTCTGGTCTTTAGGAAAATAAGAAAATATGAGAATTTTATACACACATGTTAGAGTTTTAAACATGCTGATTGAGAGAAGCCAAAATAGAAATAGGAATATGAGAGCTTCGTTAAGTAAATAAAAGAACGGAGAAAGGGGCCCGGTTCTTAACTGCTGATTGTATCAGCTGCTCGGGCCCTCACCTACAGGTGTTAGTCTGCTGCTCTGTAGCCGTTCATGCATCTTTATCCCCAGGTTTGGGGGATGAGTAGGGAGCACCTGAGCCACAATCAGTTTGCCTGAAAACTTCATTTGTGCTGGGAGAGGTTCTGTGATACGCACCCCTGTATTACTCAGGCAACCCTCTACTCTCCGTGCGGGCGCCACTTCTGGGGCTTTGCAATTAGGAGCTGCTGCTGCTGCTGCTACTCTGCCCTCCTGATGGGAGAGCGAAATGTGGATTGTTATTTTGTCTTCACTGTATTTCCTTTCCCTACAGAGAATCCTAATTTAGAAATTCTTCCAAGCTAACGACCTTCATTGACTTACTATCAACTTGAATGTGAGCTTTGAAAGAGCATGAGGCCTCTAGGGGCAGGGTACCTATTACTATTCCAGGAGTCGAGTTAGGGAGTGAGGATACATCCCTTGATCTTCTAGGTATTTCTCCTCTTGTTCATGAAACCTTCAGGGACCCCCCTGGGGAAGGATGGGGGGCGGGTCAGGGGAAGCGGCACAGGCCCCGGCAGCAGCCGCTCCTGGGGCCCTTTATAGAGCTGACAGCCACGATCATGACAGTTCCCCGTCCTTCTGCCCCTGTGCTTGTTGCAGGAACAAAGGGATGAGGACCCGCCTGGGATGCCTGTCTCACAAGTCAGACTCCTGTAGCGATTTCACAGCTATTCTTCCCGACAAACCCAACCGCGCTCTAAAGTGAGTAGTTTGGCCACACGGCACTGCCAGGGCACTCCCCGTGGGGCGCCCACCGCTGGGCTGAGGACCTGTTCTTCTCTAGTGAGATGTTGGCCAGATGCGCCGGGTGACAGTAACCTCCCGCCCCTCTGCGGCTCCTTTTATATCCCCAAGTGCATGGATGAGCAGGAACCCTCTTTTTTCCTTTCAAGAAAACCGTATTATCCACCACTCTTACAAAGCTGTGGTGAACGACGCTTCTTGGTTCTGCTTAGTTGTCAGTCTGAGCTCTCTGTTTGGAAACAAACACTCAAATACATTCTACAACTCTGCTTAGGTTCAGAGAATCTGGGTTCAGTGCCTATACTGGGCGAGGACTGGGTTCGATGATGTCATAGATGCACCTCATTTAACCCTCACAGGGTTGGGGGATGGGGGCACCTTGATCCCCATTGCAAAGGTGAAGAGATTAAGGTCACGGTAAGATACGGAGTCGGGAGCTCAGCCCACCTTTTCTGACCCTAAGGCCAGCTTCTTTCCGTTGTTACCCTGACGTGTCTATAGCCTGTGCTTTTTCAGCTTGGTGATTTAGACTGAAAGCCAATACACAAATACCCAGAGCTCCAGTGCTGAGGTCTGCCATCATTTCCTTGAGTGTACACGTTTCCGGCAACAGACTTGCACGAATGCGGGTGGTTTTCATTGGCACCCTGCCCCCTGCCCATCATTGTTGAGATTTGTTTTCCGGAGCAAATCCAAGGGGTCTGCTGATGGAGAGGGAGGGGCATTTCAGAAATATTTAAGAGAGATGTTTCTTCTTTCCTAGGAGACTATCCACAGAAGAAGCCACGAGGTGGGCAGATTCCTTTGATGTGCTTCTGTCCCATAAGTGTAAGTAGAATTCAGGCTTTGTCGTGCCGCAGCCAATCATCCGTTTAGCCAAAGGGGCACCAAATACCCACCATGATCCAGGTTCTACCCAGGTTCATATCCGGGTCCCCCAGACAGCTCCAGTGTCTGTGCTCACAGAGCTTCCTGCTTAGGGCAGTATATAGATAATAAGACGTAATTTAAATGTAGTGGGAAGAGGGCCTTCTTTTCTGTGTTCTGGGTTGAAAGGATGGTCCCAAGAAGCCTTCATGTTTTCAGCAGTTTCAGCAGGAAAGAATTTAGTTTGGGGAGTTAGAGTGATGGGCTCAGTGGAAATGATGGTCCAGTGCCCATCCTAGATCTTATTTATAAAATTAAATGACTACCCCACCACCACCACCACATGTCTCTGGAAAGTCTTGGTTTACTCATTCATCAAATGAATAATATTCTGTGCATTTTGTTAGTCACTTGAGTTGGTATAGTTTTGTGTTTGTTTGTTGCTTCTTACTTTGGGCGTTTACTACCCTGGCTGTAGCTCACTCCTCTGTTTCTGGCTGGCTGTGGGTTTTACTAGAATGCATTTCTGCTATCTCTCCTCTTCTGTTTTCCCAATACCCCCCCGCCCAGATTGCAGAAATAATCATGTGTATTTTCCTGTGGGAAGGACACTTTGGCCAAACTTTTTAGTTCTTGCTTTTTTCTCATCACAAGCAAGTCCGAATTCATCGGGCTTTAAAATCCTAGTGCCATGAAATACATGGGAGAGGGAGAGCTGGGGCAAGGAAGAGAGAGGGTCTTTTGCAGAGTAAAGTTTTCACGCAGACCTTCAGTCCTCCTTTTAAATTCTCCCTGTCAATACTAGAAATCCTGATTGATCTGGGAGCTGAAGGGTTGCTTTTAGCTTGGAGTCTCATTTCTCCTTAATTGAGGACATGATTCTGTACAATGAGGTTAAGGGCATTGGCTGGTAGTCAGACCTATGTTCTTGATTTGGACCCAGCTCGGCTACTAGATAATTGAGTGGCCTTGATGGAGTCTCCCAATCTTCAGATGTCCTCAGAAGTGATTTTGCTTTCCGCTGGATCAGCACTTCCCTCTGACCAGGCCCCTGATCCTAATACCGGTTACCAAATGCTCTTGAATACATTTTAAAATGCAATACAAGATCTAAGAATAAGCATATATTTGCAGCATGTAGTTTTGCGAGACAAATAGTCATTTTAGTGTTCTGCGGATTACACTTAGGAAGGAAAACAAGGCAGCAGAAATACAGCGCGTGTGACATATGGCTTATGTCACAAACAGCAAGCTTATGTGGTGACTTTGCCAAGGTAATGGCATATGTACAATGATAGTTAGGGTTTCCCAGTAAGGCTTGTTCTTTATGGGGCCATTTTTGACTTCTTTTCTGGAGTCCCGGTAGGCTAAACAAGTGTCGCTATTAACTTAAGCCTTCTTTTCTGGCTGCATTTGCTTCAAGGTCATCTTGGAGTTTGTTCTTATTTCAACCTCATGACTGACTCACTTAGTTCAAGTCCCCGAGGCTGTTTCCTCATTCTGAAATGGTGATAGAAATACCTGTGTGCTACCTGTCACCGGGGTCAGGGAATCTTCATAAGAGGACACCTTCAGATGATTTGGGGTTCTCTACTTAAAGGTGTTTTATAAGAATATGGCAGTATTTAAGTGATGGTTTTATTTATAAAATGCAAAATAAACATGCCTGAGGAATAGGTTTGCAGGGACGCCTGGGTGGCTCAGTTGGTTAAGCGGTTGCCTTCGGCTCAGGTCGTGATCCCAGCATCCTGGGATCGAGTCCCACATTGGGTTCCTTGCTTGGCAGAGAGCCTGCTTCTCCCTCTGCCTCTGCCTGCCACTCTGTCTGCCTGTGCTCGCTCTCTCTCTCTAACAAATAAATAAATAAAGTCTTTAAAAAAAAAAAGAATAGGTTTGCAAATTTCGCCAATTATTAATGCTGAGCCATTATAGACAGAGTTTACGGTGGGTCAATCAACAGATGCAATCTTGGGGTATATTTGGAGTGCTGCTCTGGCAAGACCTGGAGATCTAAGGGCTTCCATGTTATGTGATTCAGTGACTTGTGACCTGAAGAGGCCTGCTTCTGCTTCTGTGGGGGATGGCTTCGGTTTCCAGGACCTTTTCTGAGACGGGGATTCCACTAAGGGGTTACAAGCTGACGCCAGATTGCTTCTTTGTCCCAGACCGCTGCAGAAATAGGTTTTTTGAACTGTGAGGTTCTGTGATCCGTCTTGGAGTCTGATGTTCTGTTTTGATTTCTGTTTCGTACGGAAATAAAATGCCAATGGAGTGCATGTGTTTGAGAAGAAAGAGACCTGTATTCATGGGTCACTGGCAGAATTTCAAGGTTTTAGAGCTTGACCGCTCTCTCCCTGTGAAGGCTAAGGGAGGAGTCAGAGCCAGGTTACCTTGAAGGGTGTTGACAACTTAAAGTCTAATTAATTTGGGCTAATACTGTGACTCAATTAGGGCTGATTAAGCTTTTCCAAAGGGATTGCATGTGTGCTGGTCCCTTAGGAGGGACAGTGGTTGATCAGAGGTGTGCAAGGCTTTCAATTAAGATAGCAAAATGTCCTAAAATGTAAAGAAAGGAGAATCACTGAATGAGCTTCCAGAAAAAAAAAAAAAAAAAACGTGCATTAGTCTAGAAACCAACCCCCTGGTAATCCTTTATACCTAGGCAACTGTCCTCTCTGAGTTTTCCATTTCAGATAATTCAGATCATTATTTTTGTTCCCATTCTCAATTTATAGAGCATTTTTACCCTCCCTGCACTGCCTGGCTGTTTTGGGCCCTCATTTATTTAAAGAAAGGTGTATTAAGTGTTTATTATGTCCGAGGTCTGTGCGAAGCAGCTGGCTGGGGGTGGGGGCACTGAGAGGAACAGGACAGCACCTCCCTGGTAGAGAATGCAGCCTTCGGAGACGCGGACATGCATACAAATAACATAAAAAATAACCCAGTGTGTTGCCTACAGACGAGGGAGCTTCAGGATTTCAAATAGAAGCCCGACATTCGGTGCTCCTCTTCGGTCCCGTTCCGTGGGTATTAGAAGTCCTCACCGACCTGACAGCGGCAGGGCGCTTTCGGTGTAGAGCCTGGTTTCTACTTAATTGGAGAAGATGCTTCTGTACAATTAAGTTACGAACGTTAGCTGGTTGTCAGACCTGCACGCGAGCGATGCTAACCCGTCTCTGTTCCCAGATAGCTGGGTTGCCTTGACGGAATCCCTCAGTCTTCTGGAAAATCTGGTTCTTCATCTATGCAATGAAGGATCTGGAAGAGGATGTCTCAGGCACTGGATCCAGTCCTACCCTCCTGTTCTAGGATGCTGAGGCGGGGCCATTAGCAGACACCCAGGCAGGTGGTTTGCGTCAGCGCTGCCTGCCGGGTTATGTAAAACCCCTTCAAAGCTGAGATGGTTCAAGCAACCAAATGAGGGGCGAAAGCACCTGTGTTGGGAAGCTTTCTCTCCTTGACAGGGTCCTGCTGTGTGGGGAACACTTCTCAGGCTCCAGCCTCAGGAAAAGAAGAAAACAACCTTGTTTTTTAAACTTGAGAGCAAAAAGAAATCTGGAAAGCAAATATTCAGAGCAGTTTGGTTTCCAGTCACATTTGCTTATAAAGCTGAAGAGGCATGCATGGAGGTCTGGGGGATAGCCACTTGCTGAGGGCTTTTTTTTTCTTTTTAAACTCAGAAATGAAAAATAAAATTGAAATTGCTGATGACTTTATTAGCTAGCAGAGGATTTCTAATGTGGGTTAAGTTGGCATCTTTCTCCTGCTCACCCAGGGACAGTTAGACTTGGTGTCTGAGCTGTGCACTTAGGCTGCTCCCGGGTGGGTGGGTGCGTGCGTGCGTGTGTGTGTGCGCGTGCACTCACCGAGAGGCCTTCCTGTGTCTGTAGCTTATACCCAGGAGAAGGAAGGCTCCCAGCTTACGGGAGATGTGTTTTCTGACGGGTTGCGGGCGAGTGGGCACAAAATTGTCTGTCTTCTGCTTCGATTTCCTCATGAGGCTCAGGCATATGCTTGTTATTTGTCCTGCTTTTAGTGGGACATTCAGTCCTGAACTCTGATCCAGTTCAAACTCTGAATCTCCCTCCTTCTGTCCTTCCTCCCTCCTTCCTTTGTGGGATTTTTTTTTTTTTTTAACATAAAAGTTAGATTATTCCAGTTTGAAGAGGAAGCTGTAGACAGGGTTCCTTCCCCTTCCTCTCCCTTCTTTCAGCCTGATCCCACACCAGGGTGACAGAGCACTTTCCCCTGGGCCTCCATATGGTCCTTGGCTTTGTTTCATTGTTTGCACAGAGCATGGAGGGTCTATGCTGACCTGTCTCCACCAGGCCCAGGGACTCCAGATTAGTGGACTAGTACAACTGAAAGCTCTTTTGCATTTACAGAATTAGTATCCATCTCTGTGAAAAGGAGTCCAATAAGGAAGCTTTTAGTTTTTTAAAATTAGCCCCTTTGGGATAATGATTGAGATATAGAAAAATATAACAACTTGATCTGGTCACACAGCAACGAAGCAGAAGACCTCAAGCAAGCAAAAACATGAAAGTTACGAGCAAATGAAATTCCTTAATTATTCATCCAAGTGGTCGTTAGCTTTAGAATGTAGAGTTTATCTAGTTCCCACTCACTGCATAGCCCTCCCCACATCCTTCGCCAAGCCCCCCAAATCCTAGAACAGTATTAGTGCAAGTGTGATCCAAAGAAGGCAGCAGCTGCTGGGAGCTTGTAAGAGATGAAAATTCTGGAGTTCTGTCTCAGACCTGCTGGGTCAGCATCTCCGTGGCCTAGGGGCACAGTAAATTTTTCTCAAGCCCTCCAGTAATATTAATGCCCACTGAAGCTTGAGAAGCACTGCTCTAAAACCTAAGGGAGTAACGCGATGAATCTGGAACATCTTGGTGAGGCACGTGGCCTGTGCTTTCCAAGAAACCCACTGAGCTCTGGATTACAGCGTTCTAAAG